AAAGTTCAAACAATGAATATGTGGTACTTTTTTATTTGTGACTTAACTAATAACCGAAGAAAAAATTATTACTGATAAAGTTGGTTTCTCTCAAAAATCTTCTAAATAAAAAATATAGATATTTTTTTCTCAATAGGATAATACATAACTTCGGTTGTTTTCTATGATAGTGTAACAAATTAAAGAATTAACTGTCTTAAACAAATTTATTTCCAACAATATTTCACGTAATCACGAACTAATTTATTTACAACATTTAGCAAACTAACGCTTAAATTATTTCCACTATTTGAATTCATTGTTTAACCGCTCGATTCACTTTCTGAACTGCCCTCTTGGGTCGGGAAGCCGGGCTTATATAATGTAACGGTCCTTTCTAGAAATCTGTAGTCGGTTCGGTACTCGACTAGGGTTTTACCGGCGGTTGCATTCTTTCGCGGTGATGTCATGTGTTTGTTCGCTGAGTCGGCCGGCATATCGGTCAGGGGCGGCTTCAGATTCGTTACAATAGTATGAAGGAAGAGAAGCCTGAGTACCAAATTTCAGTCCCTAATATTATATATTTTGAAAATTCACATCAATTTTGTTTTTTAATATTTTTCAACGTGCGACCATCAATTCATTTTCATTGTCATTTTCTCTTCTTTTAAGAAAAAATATAGTATATGAGAAAAAAATTGCATATCGCCAAATTTTCATGACATTCGAAAAATATGTCATTCTCAACAATGTTATAACAAATTGGCGAGGATATCTGAAAGAACAAGGGGATTATTTGTCCACCCGCTATATATCAATCGTATCCAATACTAGTTTATATATGATATTCGCGTCGTCATTTGATAGTTTCACGGGCAATTCACTAGTTCTTGTTTTCTCGATTTGGATGTTGATGCATATGAAAAACATGACACCGAAAGAAGTACTATGATTTTTCCAATTGATATGTGATTATTTCATGGATGACTGACTTTTTGTTTTGTTTCAGAATGATAAAGACACAACTGGATTATGGTTAACGGCTAGTGAGGCAAGTAGTTTAGAAGTGGCAGAAGTAGCTGAAAGATTGCGAGTTGACACCCAAAAAGGTTTGTCTTGGCAGGAGGCAAATGACAGGAGAAAGGTTTCAGGGTGAGTGATAGTAAAATAGTAAGGATATAGGCTTTGAACCAAAACAGTAAAATAGTTACTGCACAGAATACCTTACAGAAGTGATACTCTGCACAAACCAGGAACTATAATTACTGTCAACCTAAAAATTTCATCGAGTGGTTAGTGAACTTGAACATGGTGAAATTAAGCGAGTTACTTTGAAATTATTGAAATATTTTCATAATAACCTTCGTCATCGTTATAATTTCAATTTACTGCTAAAATGGCAACACGTCGAACATAGAATATAGGTCACAGAAACTTGATTCCTCAAGATCAATTGCGCTAACACCAAACTGATATTTTTGCACTCGACGCGCGTTTCGCCAACAAAGTTAGCATCCTCAGGAGAAGAAAATTGAATC